CCGCGAGTCTACCATTACTCCTTAGCGAGCGAGCGAGGAAAAAAAATGCTTAATGGGCTGCAGCCTTCGTAATGTGCACCTGAGAGCCAACCCCGGTTGTTGTTTCTTCTTTTTATTTTTTTTATTTTTATTTCCTTTTTCTCTGCAATTTTTTTTTACTTTTCACTTTTTTGGCGAACTTTCTTTTCAAATTCGTGACTTTTTTTGTTCATCGAATTGAAAAAGGTCCATCAATGTAAACAATGTTCATCAATAAAAAAAAGTTCATCGGATAAAACTTTTGTTTATTGGGATTTTAAAAAATGCTCATCAAAATTCAGCATTTGTTCAGCAAATTAAAAAATGTTCACCAAATTCAAAATGCGTTCATCATTTTCAGAAATGTCCATCAAATTCGAAATATGTCCATTCCTTGTTTTTAAAAATCTGGAATTTTTTTCGTCAAGTTCAAAAATGTTTTATGGAATTCAAAATTTATTTATCAAATGCCAAAAATGTTCATCAATATTAAAATATGCTCATAAAAATTGGGCATCAAAAAAATGTTCATTAAAATTTAAAAAATCTTCTTTCTTTTGAATCTCGAATAATGTTTTGAATTCGAGAGCAATTTTTCAATTCGGTGAAATTCTATTTTGAATGTGTGAACGTTTTTTGAAAGTCAGAATTTTTTTTGAAATCTTGAGGAAAAAAACAAGGGGGCACCTCGCGCCCCCTGGTGCGCAACGCGCCTAATAGGGGGTTCCCTCAATTCAGCGCCGACGCACATATTTGGGCCAGCCGATTTATGGGGCTGGACGCCCCCTGTTGCTGTTTTTATTTTTTATTTTTTATTTTGGTTTTATTCTTCACTAAAATAATTGGCGATTACAAAAGGTTCCAAAATTCTATAGAGTTATGAAATTTGGAGACAATGATCCAGAAATCATGAAAAGTTCATGGATTCAAAAACTGTTACTGATTTTTTTAAAAATATTCGCAATTTAAAATTGTTCACTGGTTTCAAAAAATGTTCATGAATTCGAAAAATACCCAAGAATTTGTACAAACAGTTCAGATAATCAAAAAATAGTTTTGGTTTCATAAATAATTTTAAAAATGCTCATGCATTCATAAAATGTTCGTGAATTTAAAAATATTCCCCCAAAACATAATGCTCACCAATTTGAAATGTTTTCATGATTTCCAGAAGAATTCTTAATTAAAAAATGTTCACGAAAAAATGAAAAGGAGAAAAAGGAAGGAAACAGGAATGAAAATGCAATGTATTTGTCAAATTAATTCAATTATGAGATGAATGTGCATTCTGAAAATGTTGTCGTTGTGTATTTTGAATTTTGTTAAAATGTCCAAAAATGAAAATTTAATAATACCAAAAAAGGTGAGATACAAGCGGTTGAAGCTTAGGAACCGCCTGTAATAATAGACTGTAGGCAAACACGAGGCCGCGAGAGGTGGTTGTCCAAAATATGCTCCAAGTCACCACGTGCTTGATTAGTTCAAGGTTCAGTCTAGACTTCTTCATGAATTTATTCCGTGTCATCATTTTTGCATATGCAAAGCACTATTTTGCACGATTGTGGACCGACGAACTGCATAAAACTGACGGATCATAAGCCGATGATGATCTCTGCCGAAACGAGTATAGAGAACGTTGCACAAACCATCCCAATTTAGCCCAAAACTTTCTTACGGACAGTATAATATGCCGTAGTTGGTGATAAATTCAGCGTGGCTATCTTAACCCAAAATGACTCATGAAGGTCACACAACTCAACCTTGGTTCAAAACGATCAAGATGATGCAGATGCCACTCATTACCGGTGACCTTGGGGTTGCTCCTCCACACACACTTTATCTTTCTTTTTTTGACATACCACACACACTTTATCATTGCTTGGGCCCCATCATAAGTTGGGTCGGGCTTCTCATGGGCTTCAGGTCCAGTTGGGGTAGTGGTGCTAACACGGCCAGCCCTAAATCTTCCATGAGGCGGCCGCGTCCTGCATCGCCGTGTCCCCACATTTGGTCATTGTGACCTATGCTTCGCCTCTACAGGCATTGCCAATAACTGCTGTGTTGCGGCGCCACGGGTGGCGTTGCCTTGCCCACGACCGGTCGACACTAACCGACTTCACCTCATGCACCAGTCCCATGGCCACGACCTCAGCATGGCGACCACCACCACGGCCGGTTCCGTGCTGGGCACCGACATCGTTCATATGGCCGACTAGCTCACAAGCCGCTGCCGGTTACACCCAGGGCACTGCCATCATCGCTTCCATCCAGGGTGATGCCATGGTCACCATATTGTCATTTCCTGGTTCTTGCTTTTGGAGTGCCAGAACTCCCGCTTCCTCGATCCCGCTTCTAGGCAACAATTTACATATTCGCCATTTGTTTTGGAAATCCATGAACTTTTTTAAATTTGTATGATTTATTTGAATTCAAGAACCTTCTTGAAATTTAGAACATTTTTTTGTAATTCACGAACATTTTTAAAAATTCTCACACATTTAAAAAAAATTGAACAACTTTTGAAATCCTGGAACATTTTCTTGAATTTGTTAAAAAAATAAAAACTACAACACTTTCGTAATGATGAAATTTATTTTAAGAACCAAAATATAAAAACAGAAAAGAAAAGGAAAAGAAACAAAAGAGAAAAAAATGAAAAAAAATGTTCTCTGCACCAGGACACATTGGGAGCGGGCTTGTGCATTTGCTGGGTATTTCCTATTCGGCACCTTCAGCTCCCGTTAACGTGCATTTCGTTAACTAGCGCTGAAGGCACTCTTATCTAGGCCGGCCAATATCTTATTCTATTTTCTGTAAACTCCCAACAAATATGCACGCGACCGGCTTCGAACACACAACTAGTAGGCTATCCCACCCGTTTGTGAAACAATTGCTTTTTTCTTATTTTTATTTCCCCAGTTCGTGGCTTTTTCATTTCCCCTTTTTCCCTTTTCTATTTTTTTGTCTTTCATTTTACTTTTTCTAGATTTTTTAAATGCATGATCTATTTGCGAAATCGATAATTGGTTTTGAATTTTTGTGAACTATTTTTCAAAATCGATGTAAGCAAGTAAGTAATGTTAGTGTAATACAATGTAAAGAAGTGGACAGTCTTTGCATAATTTGTCATCTCCTCCATGTTATTTCATTAGGCGAGTAACAATATGGAGCGAGCTAGCTCAATAAAAGGTTCTTACATCTTATCTCACACAACCTCCAGGACCGCCATAAAGGCATGCAGCATGATTGATAGGAGTAATAGAGTGGCATTTGTTATTAGTAACCAACGTGGGGAAGTCTGCCATGATGGGCTTGGTGTTCCCCTCCTTGTCAATGATACCAAGGTTAGTGAAAGAAGCAGCGCGCCCTTGACCACCATTAGGGAAGGAACCGCTACCCATCGAAGGAGTTGAAGCCGCCCTATGGGCAACCACGGCACCACCAAATGCCAACTGGTTTGCCTTATTTGCCAGGTAGCTGAACAATGACTTTGGGAAGTATCCCACCCCCGTAGGAACGCTATTGAAGCCATAGTACACCCACCAGTCTCCGCTTTTTTTGTCCTGCGATTGTTTAGTATTCGAGTTAAGTAAAACTATGTTAATCAATAGAGAAAGTCACACCATTTTGTACGCATTTGAGTACAATCCAGGCTAAAGTACTATCGTCCATGTGATATGACTTAATGAGGAAACTATTGGCATTAAAAATAGCATGACAATGTAATGTAAAATACAAAAAAAGATGACACTCGCACCTTAAGCACTCGTACTGTGATACTCTGTATGTGCCCATGGGGAACATCAGAAACTGGTTGTATAGCATCACCTGGAGATATGGCAGCGCCATTCGCTCGTATGAAGCCAGGGCAATCCATGTTGAAGCATCCAGTTGCTTCATGTCCGTCTCTCTGTACCATGCATGTGCATGCATTGGTCAAAAACATGATATGGTATGATGTTTCCATTTAGAGTGAGATCACTTGTCAGCTGATTACTCATAGCAACATTATCACATTACCGTCCATTGGGTATAGAAGTGAGGACGTCAGTCGCCATAACGCTCTAGATAAATCTGTAAAATAAGGTGTACAAGTGAAAAACATTCTCTCGCATACGAATGTAAGAACAAATAAATATTTGGCGAGTTTTCTTCCCAAATAGTTCCATTGATGTTAAAACAACAGATGGTTTTTAGATAATTTTCTAGGACTAGCAGCTATTTTTTAGTGATGGATTACACATCATACTGGAAGAAAAATACAATTGTAATTTAGTTGTTTTGGGGGTTGGGTCGTGTAGCCCATGCATCTAGTTCAATACATATGTATTATTTGTGATGTTTCCGATGTTTTTCTAAGCTGGAATGGAGCCAAGGTCATGTCTTTATTATTGCAGTAGAATGCTTGTAGCAATTGACTACTACTCAGCATGTTGAGGTTCGAATTCAAAGGAAATGTCTAGATGCAGGGGGGATGATCCTTACATGCCAGCCAGCTTGAATCGAATTAAAGCTTGACGTAGCACCGTCTCCATGATGACTAACCCAAATTCCAGCCGTACTCCACTGGCCTGGTTTTAGTTTGTGGCCATACACATCCATCGTGGCATGTAAGCCATAGTAGTTGTCATTAGGACCTCCATAAGGTATTTGGTGTACCGCAAACTGCACAATGAAAGCTCCCATATAAACGACATACACAACAACTAGGAAAAGGGATGAGGAAAACATACAATCATAACATTGTACAAATGGAGAATGCTTAAACTTTTTTGTTTTTTCAAAATCAAGGGGGGCTATTCTCTATGGGGATACATGAAATCGTTAGAAGAGCCGCTTGCAAGCTACAAATAGTTTGTTCGAGTTACTACATGGATCCAAACACAATTAGGCTAACTAATCTACTTTTGTCACTAACATGTCAAGAAGAAATGTTGTGTGCCCAATCTTTCTCATATATCTTTTTGTTTTTCTAGTGGAAATCACTTTGTGTTCCTCTAAAAATCTTCATGGCATCTTTTAGAATAGTGAAAACTTATAATTCTTGTATAAATCCACAACCAGGCTACTATAAATTGATTTTAGATGCACCAAATAATTAAGACAAAAGTAAACACCCATGTAGTCTGTATGATTTCGGATGGAACATTCTCTAATGGAAATTGTTCTAGAAACTAAACAAGAAACACCGCTATAATACATTGATATGGGGTGGGTGGAAAGAGAGATATCAATCAGCCCATAGCTACGCAGCGAGCCACATACCACAATGTCCTCAGTATTATGTTGGCAAATACATATATCCTTACCCATAAATTAGGACAGTTAATAGAACTATTTTCACTAAGAAACTTCATGCTTCATCAAGATGTAGATATTGGATATGCTCATTTTTTTAAATATTTTGAATGCTACATTATTGTAATTGTAGTGGTGAATTGAATTAACTTACAACTCATATGAATGCCCAAAAATAACCAAATAACTTTTTTCAAGGTACATTCCACTAGTTTCACTATAATTTACTTGCATACAGATGCCTACTTCAATCTAATTTTTTGTATGATAAATAGCTAAAACAAAAATAAAGTAAATGGCAACTCTAGTTGTGAAAGTGTGCAAGTCATTCCGCCAATTCCCCGGGAAAATAAGCTTTCTTCTAGCAAAGCAAATAGTACCTAAATGCAACAAGGAATGCCCCATATCTTGCTAATAATGTGTTGAAAAAATAGAGATATAAAACCACTTCCAATTATACTAGTAATTCTTAATGCATTTGTGTATAAACAACACCCTAAAGGCTGCCATTGACTAATATCACTTTCATGGCAAGTAGGTTAGCATGGTAGTATGACGGTTCGAACTGACATGCATGTATTTATCATGCTTAGATGAAAGCATAAAAAAGATAACCTGGTATGTGAATATGCACGTATATGCCCAGGGACATAATATCAAAACCTTTGCTCAAGCATAGACTTCACATCAATACAATTTTTGAATAATAATGATATTACTGAAAATAGCCAAGCCATTTGTAATTGAAATTCTTATCCTACTCGGCCTACTCGTGATATGTTAGTGCCGCTTCTTGTAGTTGATAGTACTATTACATATGGTTATTGCACCACATAATTTTCATTGGATAGTATTTGATACAACAAGTAAGTAAACTAAGTGACGAGGAAATGTAACTCACATATGGTTCGTCCCATGAACTAGAATCTTTTCCAAAAGTTATTGCTTCAGTGGAGTTTGGCTTCAAGCTTTCCAGATTTTGGGTGGCCCGGACAAAATCATATGATACCGAATCATTTCCCTTCCACTAAAATGGTAAATATGTGTTAGGAGGGAAATAAATCATACGTGCATCTAATGTAGAATCAAGATCTTGAACCTAATGTGAATTTCATAGCTAAAGCATTTTATCATGGCATTAGTAAAGAAGGTAACAACTTTGGGAGTGGATTGTACTATGCTAATGGTGATTATCTCACTACCATGATTTGGTTGAATCTTCTCTAGTCATTCCGCCCATTAATTGCTCACTATTATTTACAAGAGAAGACGATGATACAGTTTACAAGGGTTTGTGGTGATTCTACCCATTAATTACTCACTATTATTTACTTATTGATCCATCTTGCTATCATTGTTATTCTGAATGACCATATATGGTATTGTTTACAAGAGACTAGAAATGACAAATAAACTGAAATAGGAAAGGCAAAAAAGTTGGAAAGAACATAAAGAGAAGACGATGGAATTTAGGAACGTCGTTAATGTTGGGTTTCGTAGTAATTTCAAAAAAATTCCTACGCACACGCAAGATCATGGTGATGCATAGCAACGAGAGGGGGAGAGTGTGATCTACGTACCCTTGTAGATCGACAACGGAAGCGTTAATTTAGTTGATGTAGTCGTACGTCTCCACGGCCCGACCGATCAAGCACCGAAACTACGGCACCTCCGAGTCCTAGCACACGTTCAGCTCGATGACAATCCCCGGACTCTGATCCAGCAAAGTGTCGGGGAAGAGTTCCGTCAGCACGACGGCGTGGTGACGATCTTGATGTACTACCATTGCAGGCTTTGCCTAAGCACCGCTACAATATTATCGAGGACTATGGTGGAAGGGGGCACTGCACACGGCTAAGAATATGATCACGTGGATCAACTTGTGTGTCTA